GTAAGTTTCAATCTGAGCCTGAAAAATACATTAAGGTCTTGACATCATTATAAACACTGACCCAGCATGCAACTCAACATGTTATTATTTCCATGAAATTCTCCTACGTACGTCTTCAATTTAACACTTTCTTCTATGCTATCGATAAAGAGCCATTGCTCAAAACGTCTAGCTATTTTTAATAGTTATTTAGGACTACGATTACCAAATATTATCTTCTATATATCTGTTCTCCATTGATCGTTATGGAAAACAGCTTAACTCTGTACGTGCAATAGGCGATTTGGACACACACAAACGAAACAAAATCATGTTTTACAACAATTTCTACACAAAGTCTGGATTTCCAGCTTTGGTCAGTCTCTAGCCCTGATTACAGTCCTGTAGGTTGGCCTCCTTCCGTTGATCATTCGGCCCCACATGTTAGCCAGTCTCTAACATCGTCTTTCCAAATATCCATGGAAATAATCGTTGGAAACACGTATTAAATGTTTGTAAATTACTCTATATTAGACTAGCATGTTTAAAGTTAGTACTCGGCTGATTAATTTTCGGTAATATCTGGTTGGACTTTCAACTGTTCTATGATGCTGTTTATAAACTGTTTTTTTAAACTAGACAAACCACTGTTTACAATTTGTTGGTCTAATATTATATTAGACTAGCCATGCATTTTAAAATTAATTGCTGTCCATGATGAGTTTAATTAGAATGTGTAACCTATATGCTCTGTTTCCGTAATATACCTTATTAGACGGGAATGGCCGCCAAGGTCTCGTTGGGAGTGTGAGCGCCGTGAGACTTATTCTGGACCCTCAAATAGCCGCTCTGTCTCACACTTTTGTGCACACCGATTCATTGATCTGTGTAACTTTTGGTATTGTGTGAGGACATGATCATGATACGATGTGGCGACCACTTTGATGGTATAAAAACACTTTAACATTGGTTGATAAGATAAATATATTTTAATATACCTAAAATAAGAATGAACATATATATATATATATATTACGACTGACGAGGTATTATTTGTTTTTCTGGATTATTTCAAAAGCCTGCGATTTTAAAAATGATAAATGATTTTCTTCTATGAAACTGTTGTAATTGCAAATATGTCTGACATATTCACTGAACAATACGGTTGTGTTTCACAAAAAAACAATCTGTCACAATGGAAATATAGCCCCAGGATTGTACACAATAGACCAGTGAAAACAACCAGTTTTCACAAGCATTATGAATGGGCTACTGAACTTATTGCAATTTCTTAGATCCGGTTCATGGCAACAGAGTGAAATTTACTAAAATCCGATTACGAAGCCTGGCAACACCGAAGTCGATCAATGATGAGGTATTTTTCAAACATATCGATTTAAATAAAAAAGAATTTTGATCGCCACGTGTTATACCTTTTCCTGATTAGTCTAATTTGTATTTTTTTTAAACAATACTGCTAGTTCTCGAAATTCTAAAATCCGTGACAATTTCAATGAGCAACAAATTTATTAAAACATTTTTTTTATATACATGTTAGTAAAACTCGCAGTTTTGATTCATGAATATGCAGATTAGTAAATCACGAATATGTATTCTTATGCAAATTAGCGAATAATCAGGCATTTTTTTTTAACTCGAACAGCTTGTCTAGTTGCTTGAATGGCATTTTAGAAAGATCAAGTTTTTCAGAAAAGCTCTTCTCCTGAAATGCAGATTACCTCAAAAGAAAGGTATATTCTTTCGATTAGTATCCCTAACAGTGCTTTACGTTTGACAAACCCTGATATTAACGAAAAACTCACGGCTAACAACATAATACTCCTAGATGAAAGAGATTGGCAAGTGTAAGAAAATGTTTTTTTTTTATATCACTTTCAACAGTTGACCACAGTTTGCTGTCATAAATACACTCTAACTCAAATAGCAATAATGGTATAAAGAACATAAACAAAAATAACGGATATCATGTGAGCAACTGTGATATATGTCTGATTCTATGGTTTCAGATTCGGTAATTAGATCTGAACATTAAATATTAGTGTATTGTACAGCTGCAATAATTTTGCTCTCCCCTACTGTAACAGATCTAGGCGTTGTTGTTTCACACTCGTCTACTTTATCTTGCTAAGTTTGACACTCTTCGAAGCAGTATTGATATTTCCGCTACTTACTCGAAACTGATACCAACACTGCTTCTCGCAAAACCTCAAGTTATTCCAGTATTGATCTATACAGCATACACAACCATATTTTCCATGTTTGACGCACAAACACAAAAGAGTACTTTACACAATAAATTATCTTGAATCCATACGTTGAAATTTTTTTTTGTATCCATGCTCTTTAATTTTCATTTTATTATGTTTGCATACATATAAATTGAAATGCATAAATTTAAAAAATGTGCTTGCGTTTGTTCATGACTGCTCATTCATTTTTATCTGTTGTTTATTGCAGTGGTTTCCAGAAGCCTTGGGTAGCATTCATCACACATGGCGCTCTGGGTGCCTGAGGATAATAGGCATGGAAATATGGCGAACTAATACACCTTTTTAGATTGATAATCTGTAGCAAATCTGTCTAAACTGATCTCTTCCTTGTTTCATTTTCCTTTTACTCCATTTCTTATTCTTGGTTGTTTTGTTATTACATTTATCTTATTTGCGGTATTATAGCTGTCGCTTCTCAAAATATTATATAACTTGAAATGCAGGATCGGTGTATGACGAATGATAATCTCAATCTCAAAAACGATAAAAAGAACACCAATTTCAGAGTTTTATAAAAAATAACAACTTTCCAAATTCCTATTTTATTTTAAGTTACCAATACGTTTCCACGTGTCTTCTTTATCAAACTACACAGTGCAGCTTGTCAACGGAATCACCAACACCTTAGTTATTGTGGTTGTAGCTTGATGAAGAGGAATCTTCAATACCCGGGCCTCGAAACCTAACTTGAATTATAACACTATTCTACTAGGACATTGTAAAATGGCTATTTATACAGCGAAGGTTACTTATACAATATTTGTTTCAAATGGGGGAACAAAAATAAAACTTGAAAATATAGAAACACATTTTAATCATATTGATCTACGAATTAGCACAACATTTCTTACGCACAGGGTTCGAGACAAAGTTAGGTATGTCATAACTAATATATGGGGCATGCAGTTCAATTAAATATAATAAAGTAGCTGGAACACATTTGTCAACACGAAGCGAATTAAACATTTTTTAAAGAAAATGTGATGTAAAGTCAATTACAATTAGATGAAACTAATCCGTAATTTACACAGCCAGAGTGGCACCAAACCTCGCCTACGTCTCGGATTGATACAATGCTCTGGTGCTAAGTACTCACGACTGTTGACATAAAATCACAGACAACATTGACCTTCTCGAAACCAAGTGAACATATCGTGGTAGTATATATAACAACAATATTTTGGTCACTGTGTGATACTGGTTTTAAATGTTATCTTCCTATTTTGATAGTTGCAACTCCTGTTGTCTTAGAAATAAGATTTGACATTGAGGCAATCGGTCTTGTACATCGGCTTCATGCTGCAACTCAGTTGTCCATAGCCTACGATTATGAATGGAACCGTGATGGTGACGGAGGAAAAATTGAATATTTCAGCCGCGTGGCATTTACCCGGAAGCAAAGTATCACAGGGTCCAGGGCCCAAGTGTTATAATGTGGCCGATCGCTAAATGTTGATGCACTTGGTGCGTACCTGATAAATCTAAATTTCTGATTTGTGATTAATATATTCGTAATACATATGCCAATTACATTTACATTTTATTGTTTATTGTCTTTTAGGCCACAGGCCCATATGACTATACATAACAAAAAAAAACATATGCCAATGATGCTATACAATTGTCAAACTACTGAGAATGTCGGAGGTGTGAAAAATATAGTATTTCCGTCTTTTTAAATGTTTGATCGCCAAACGAAGTGACTAATCACTTTTTCCAACCAATCTAGAAAATTCGAGATCATTCTAGTTAGCAGTTCTCTCAAACAAGCCCACGATGAGGAGAGGGGGCACTTAGATAAAAGGACTTCGATTCTCATTGGGCCCCAATGAAATTGCATATATTCAACATTAGAAAATACACAGAGTTTGTACCACATGTATTGTTGAATGCAATGATGTAAATATTCCATAAATGGTAGTGTTATTGCGCTGGGCTTGCCTATGATTGGTAGACGCAGAGTTCGCAGAGAAACCTATCAAGAAAGTCGACAAGATCAGAAGACTTGTCATCGCGATACGCGTTGCTCTGCATTACTACTGGCAACCCATGTCGTTAGGTGGCAATTTTCTTGAAACAGATCGAACAGAACCAATTGTTGCTGCCATTAATCATAGACTAATCAATAAAATTACATTTCTAGGAAGTTATGTGGAAACTATTTTATTTTATTTAAAAAGTGGTACAATAGAAACTCCTATTATGTTTTATTTGTCAGTTTCTTGGATATACCCTCTGAGAAAGAGACTAATGGTATTTAACGCTGTTTGTGTATTATTCTAGGGGAATTTAATGACAAATAGGTCGTATTATGTCAATCCTGTACAATTACATGTGCACACATTTTAATCTAACGATTTTCATATCAGTGATTATTTCAAAGTTAGGATGGTCAAAGTCGTTGTAATTGAATCACTGGATTAGAGAGAGAAATAAATGTAATTACGAAAAACAAAGTTTCAAACTCGATAGGTAACTTTGAATGATCCCATATCTATCTTATTTAAGTACATCTAACTGCAACGAACAAAACAAAGATATTAGTACAACTGTTTATCTAACAGTTCATTTTTGGCAAAGCTAACTAAAGACTATAATTCTTTCTTCTGTTTCAATTGTGAAAGGTCATACTTCTTTGTTGGAGATTCTTTTCCAGCGACAGTTACTCTGTGCAGAACACGTAAACCAACTTCACTACGTCTTCGTTGAGAGGACGGTGGTGCAACATGCGCGAGAGCCAGATTGTCAGATATGATGAAATCTCCAGGTTCCCACTAAAATAAAGAGTATGATGAACATAAGAAACATGGATATCGTACACGGAACCATTGGTGTGTGTAATATGGTAATTCCAATACGACTATTCATAGTTGTAAATGCACGCGCGGGAATTGAGTCCCAAGCGACGATAAAAACACACGCTAAAAACGCAAAGGCTTATGGATAGACGCTATGGCCATCTGACGCATGCGTAGGTGGCGACCCCCCACTTTAAGAAATAGTAGTTAGCTTATTTTAAGAATGGGACTCATGTTCATTAACACGATAATTGAAACTTTTGTAAATTATATTTATGTTCGAATAAAACCGTGCCTTTGGTTAGTTTGTCTGAAAAATTACATTTTTTGGATTTGTTTACTTATAAGAATTTGAATTTAGTACTGTCTATCAAAACCAACACCTCAGTATTTTAAAAAAAAAATATCGTGCCTCAGAATATTGTTGTTTTTTTTGCCTCTGTTTGTCAATAATTGCTGAATAAATTATTGTTATTGAAAGCTGGATATATTATTACCCCCAGAAATTCCATTAGTGTATATGTACGAAGCACATCATTCTCCGTCGCAGAGACTATGGGTCTTTCATCACTAAGCTAGGTAGTCGCCAGGGAACGTCCCACTCGTCTCTGTCACAAGCTAATTTAAATATTAATGATCGGACCTACTTTTTGCTTTGCCGTGAGTGCGTTCGCGTCGCTCCCTGGGGATGCCTCAAACGACGTGGTAGGAAGTAGATGTATTGGTCCGTTGCTATGCGAGCGAAACTCGTATAAAATGTATAAAATTTATTTTGAAATCACGCCCACTAGCATTTTATGTTAGAGAAAATTACTTAAACATCTTTTTACCTATCGATTTCGTAGTTCGCTATCTTTTTCCTAACATCGCCCAGTTGTGACGTCATATAGCAGACCAACAAAAACTGCGGGCAGGCGCGAGGCGCCCGCGTCACCTAGAGGCAATGATGCGAACGCACAGACGATTTGAACTGACGATTCACATCTACGTCTCCTACCGCACGATCTACTTTTTCATTATTTTAACATTTTGAAAAGATTTTAGCACTGAATGTAAAAATATTTGACATATTTATTTTAAATAACAAACATTTTTTTCAACAGAAGCTAGGATATCATAAACAAATGAATTTAAAAAAACGCGGAATACTAACAATTTTGGTGTAAAATATCGCCTGTGGCAGAGTCTAGTTGCAGCTCTCTGTGGCTCCCTAGGTCAAGAAGACTCTGCAAGGGAGAGTGGAAGCACATATGCGAAGATTTCAGACAATACTGACTTGTATACCTAATTAGCAGAAGTCACAAAGGTAAAAAAATGCGCGTGTATAAAATTACAATAAAAACACAATAGAATCAGGGGACTGATGTTCTGCAATAAGTTGAATGAACAAACCGATTTGGGGTATTTCCACAAGGTATATGTGCGTTTTTTAATGGCGTCATTAATTATGCAAATTGTATGCAAATATCATTTGCGGTAGGATAAAAAAACTTTTACACGATAAAGTGTCTCGAATGTACATTCGAAAAAAAGTATAAACAATACATTTTGATAAAATAGAATAGATAAATATTACCTTATGTGAATACTGGACAGTGTGTTTGTCTTTTGTGAACACGTGGTCTATTTCTTTCTTTAAAGCTTGTGTTTCTTTCATGTTCGTTAGTCTTTGGTTAACATTACCTCTGTCCCAATAAAATGCCCCAGTTAATCCAGTATGTAGACATAACACCTGGTTAAGATATGACCATACACTATGTCAATCTGAGGTTTATATGTCATATTTGCACCGAGCTTAGCTTGTATTGATCACTACTTCATTTTTAGAACATTTACGGAACATTTCACTTGTTGGAAATTGGAGATAATGGTCGGTTCATTGCGTGTTTAAATATTACTCCGTCGTCTCTTTTACTATTGCTTGAATTCATTTTTTTACTAGCTTGCATGTAAAGTGGTAACCGGATTTTAGCATATTGTTAAAAAGTTGGACTAAATCATATTTTCTACAGTTTTACCTTTTTACCACTTTCGGGATGTGAATAAATGAGAGGGTGAATCACGTCTGTACCATGGGGATTTCTCACGACCCATAACCTCTCCCAACGATGTCTTTGCCTGTGCGATAACCCCTCGATGATATCATTCAATGGCGCAAACACTACAAGAAAGTATAGAACAAGATTATAATTTATTTCATAACAGTTATAATTACGACTCAAGTATCTTGTTGTTTATCCGATAGCAGTTTCCTATTTATTTATTGTATTGGAGGGGGGGGGGGTAAACTTCAAGAAGCAATATAGCCAAATTGCTGTGAGCCACAATATTTCGAATCCTGGCAAATGATCGCCCTACCTACCCAATGCGCACAAATTGAAACTATTGAATACTTCACATTATAGTCTTAAAATCCCAATACAACTTTATGAATGACCTCAAAACCTCACTGTGTTATTAACTCGTTTAGCAGTATGTCAGTACTCTCCTGTGAGAGGGAATAATACATAAACGAACATATGTTTATGTGAATATTCATTTAAAATAGACCGATATACGCTGGCCTTCACCGTCCTCTGTAATTATCGATGTTCTTAAAAAAAGTTGATGATGTTTATACACAGCGGACGTTTTAGCAAAGTGCATATACTTGGTACTGTTCAGGTAGAAGCGTCCGTTGACCTTTGACCTATTTATTCATTGTAATTCTATTCTATGTTCTATTAGGATGAAAAATTACGGAATACCTGGAAATACATGTCACTTACACGTTTCCGCGCCTCTTGATATGTTGACCATATGATATATAGAGTAACTGCACGGTTTTTGCAAGTACTGTCCATCAATATGCCACCCCGTGTTGCCAACTCCCACTTGGCCTTCCGATGCATCATTGGACACGCGGAATATATTCAAAGATGGTGATTTTGGGTGTTTGTAAAAACTCGTAGATTCTAGCTCACCAAACCATCGGCCAATCTCCACGTGTTTATCCGGTGAAATATTGCGTTGATTCTTGAAAATCAAAATACGATGCTCGGTGACGTCTTTCTTAATTGTCTCGATCACATTTTCGGGTAATGGATTTCCCAGATCAATACTATGTACTTCGCATCCCAGTTGTATAGGTTTCAATTCATAAAAAGTCACTAACTTCACCAGGTTGCAAAAAATGGTGAATGTTAGATAACTGCTATGTTGACATGCCATACTGAACACGATGTAATACAATGAAGTGCGCATATTGAATTCGGGGTACTTGAGGTAGCGTATTTTGAATTAATCGCATAGAGAGCGCTGCTAATATCAAAACAGGTAGTATTATTAACATGCTCGGATTTTCGAAGCTCCTTCGACGACAGCGTGACTGGGATGCCAACACACTTAGCTATCAAGGCATAATGATTTGTTTCAGTTATTGAAACAGTTTTCGTTTGTAAATGATGTCTTTATTGGATCATGCCGTAAACAGCCTAGTTAGTTACGTCACTTTTGTTTCGAGAAAGACGGGGAAAATAAGATTGTGCGTGGAATGGTGTCTTTAACTCGACGCCAGACAGGACCTAAAAAGAAAAACTAATTTTCATTTTTTCAACATAATTTATTTTCTCACTCAATGCATCTGTTTAAAAAATACTTGTTTAAACAGCTGTCTATTTACGAATGCCTTCCTGGAGAAAAGTGAAATGAGACAGGTCAGTAGATATCAAAATACTTCGCTATCGATATTTAACGTGCTGTGCAGTCACCATGGATCCAGATAGGTAAACTGAAAATAATCAGTTTCTTTATAGATCCTAGAATCCATGGTTTGGTTTAACATAAAATATATAAGAATGTCAAAAGCCTACGTACAAGACAAGTTTTGAGTCACCACGCCCTCACCGACGGACTCTGGTTCATTGCGCGGAGGAGTGCGCCCTCAAGTGTTCATAAACATTTTTTCTCCTGAAAATGTGTTATGTAAATATTGTTTGTATTAAAAATAATAATGATTTTATAGTATAGGAAAATTATATCAAGTATGCCATTTTAAAAAAAATTCCCATAATTACCGAACTTGCTACTGATACTATACTAGTAAACTAAACTTTGATAATGAGACATGGAGACATGCCGAAGTACGAAAGCGCCAACATGCGACGAGAAAGTTAAAGTCTAGTGGGGTAAATACGAAGTTTGAAATGTAAACTAGAATACAAAAAAAAAAAAAAAAACGTTTCGAGTAACAATTTACTAACAAGAATAGCCAAGGATTAAAACAATGGTGGGTAATGATTTACTGCTCTTCACACTCTGCCTATCAACTTTCGATGGCCCAAAATTTCGTACGTCTGGTCTCGGACGACAATAGCAGTCTGGGGTTTGCTGTAGTTATTGTATCCACGAGTTGATTTAAACCTACGTCACATCATAGACCATCCTGTATGTTTGATGGTGAGATTTAATCATAAAGCCTGTTTTCTAGGATCTACGTTTATCTGTTGTTATTTCGCTAAAAATAGTACAACATTCTTTTCGGAAGATAAGCTGTTACATTGAAATTCTTCACAGGTGACCACGTGTTGGTGTTATCGTAATGACTATCTTTTTAACATTGTCCCCTAGTGGTATTCTCCCACACACATCGACAAGGTATTTATAATTATATTCTTCGCCGCGAACTTAATTTTCTTATGTTTTTCATTTAACTCATCAAAAATCATCGACCTCCACTGCGCGTCGGTCGATGCTCCCGCTGTACTGTCTTCGTGCATATTTTGAAGTATCCTCGTAATAACCTCATAATATTTCCCATTTATTATCGCGGCAGCGCCATTGTAAAGAATACGTCATAAATTATTTTGTTTATTTTCTAATTATTTCTAAACTTTTAAAATGGTAAACATTTTTAATTTTCAAAATATTTAAATTTTAGAAAATTGAGGTTGTTCACGGTTCGAAATGATTGAAAATGGAGAAAACAACACTTTTGTGTTTTGTGAATCCGTACCGTCGCCATGGTTATCTATTGTTTTAACGCTCGCAGGCAGTTAGATAAAAAATAAATAAATAATTTGAAACATTGTCATGAACTAAAATGCAAATTGCCAGTTTGGTCGATCATGATTTAGGAGACTTTCTCTTGCCATGGAAATAACCATTTGTTTAAATCTTATCTATAGGTGTTTGAAATTGACAAACATAGAATCTAATCCTCATTCACACCTACTTAGGCTTGTTGTAGTTTCATTTGACAATCCTGAATATCAATGAAGCAGTATGTATACAGTGTACCATGAGTAGAACAGTCAACAAAAACTCGTGCACGAAAATAAAACGTCGAGTTATAATTTGGGCGTGGTTTTTCAAAAGCGGGCGTGTTTTGTAAATTATGGGCGTGGTCATTTTTGTAACTCGTTCGTAACTCGATTAATTCAGCTTTCTCCGTTCCTATACATTTGGAATTGCAAAGATTTACTTGTGTTTGAAAGGACAGACTTTTAGTGAATCTTCTGTGGGCGAAAATTCAGAGACCATTAGATACTAGTATGTCGTATTCTCGGGTGGACATCCGGGAATTTTCAAGTTCACCGCCTGGCAACCATCACGGTGAAAACAAATGCCGAATACTCTTAGAAAACTATACTTTGGAATAGTTGTTGAGACTCCCCTGAACATTGTAACAAGAACATCCTAACATGAGCAACGTATATAAATTTGGTCACTCTCGATTATTCAAAGTTGGGTTTGTGCTGTTTCCTCGACTGTAGCTGTTTTCACCAGCTCTTTGACAGGCATTCCACGGCAGCTCACACAGAGCCCATTGAAATACATGGTACAGTGACGCGCGTCTTAGCAACGCAGAACATTGTGTGACGTAAGACCGCTCCGGGAATGTTATTTCCAAGACCAAAATATCAAAGTAACCACGCTCAACAGAAAATTATGTATTCTGTCGGTTCTCAATGATTACCTCCATAGTCACAGTGATCATAACCAGCATCGCCAAATGTAAAAAACGAAAATAAATACTAGCTGTCCCAATTTTCGCTCAATTTAGCAAAATTTGGACGATTTTTTGAGCCAAAAAAAGTGTCCTTATTGTCGATTTTGGGCTCTATTTTCAACTTCCACCCAAAATAAAGTACCCCTCCGGGGATTAAAAATTTCTAAAAGCAATGTAGGGAGAACAAAACTTGTACCTCAGTTTCCCAAGTATTTTGTGACATTTTTGGCACTTTGGTAAGGCAATAGCGATAATCATTTATTCGCTTTTGCGGCATTTAAAGGACGATGTTCTTGAATGCAAATACGGAAATATCATCAAAATCGAATAGTGACTAATTTTAGGGCGTACATTTGTATCTAGGGATCTATTTTCCCCTGCCCGAGACAAAATCTAAATTTCGGCAAACTCGATTTGATTTCTTTAAAATTTAATGTCTGCTATAATATGTCATCTTCTTTCTTTTTCACAAAAAATATTTAAGGAGTCTTATGGTACAAGGACCTAGTAATCGACGCCAATGACACACTTGGCAAACGTGGTCGCAATGCAAGGGCGTGGCCCCACACAAGTCTCGCATTGTTCACACTGGTAAAAACACGTACTTTGCGAGACCTGATATGAACACCAAGATGGCGACGCTGTGAAAGTGGAGCTCGTTGTAATACACTAATTATGTTGGGATTTATTCACGCCAGCGAAAGAAACTAAGTATTCAAACATTTGTGGTTGCAGCAGAAGGCAAGAAGAGACGCCTTGAAGAAGCCCGGTAAGTAATTCGCGCTATAGGTGTGTGTTTACTAAAGTTTTTCACACTCGTTGTAATGTTGACAGTGATCTCCACCGATGTGACTCTGGCTAGTTTTGTTGCATGGGTTTGCCGACGCATGCACTTTCGGTTATGAGCTAACGGTGCAATTCGATTTGGAATTATTTTAATATTATATATTACCTGGACCGGTTAACTTAATATCTTATTTTCAAGACTCGGCGAAAGCACCTCGAGTTGCGTAGTATGGACTGGGGGTTTGACGCGCGTATAGTAGTCGTTGCTCTGCTTCGTAAGTCAAGTGCATGCATTGAATTTCAAGTATTGTTATTAAACGGTATTGAACTTGGGAATGTCGTTCATTTTCTCCTTTAAAATATCACAGTCTGTATCGTTTTTTAACACTTGGTACATAATTACGGGCCATATGGAGAGGTGTGTCAGATCGATTCAGTTCACTGCGGAGGGAACTCCCAAAACCGGATAAACCGTTGATGAGTCAGTATTGGAACACGATCAACATGAAAAGGTGTACATACTATTATTTTTCATATTCCAAATTATACCACATTTAAAATTGTTCTTTTTACCGGATTCTTGCTTAAAGCTGACCTACACCCGCACGATTACCAAAAAAGATTGCCTTGTGTTTATGTCGATTGTTTGTACCCTGAGCGCCCTCGCTTTGAATACACTTAACAATCGTTTTGTCCTACCTTTGTTATTGAAATACAAGTGAGGAATTTCCCACACCCTGCTGCTTCACTGATATCACGTATACCTGATCATTTATAAAAATGTCTTCAGTGCGAGTTAACCTCGTGCTATATATATATATGTGTGTTGTGTGTAGTAATTCTAGCGGAATGAATAGTCTGTTGATTACTAAGAATTTTCTCATGTGAGTGTCTTATGGTGTCAAGAATCGTAAATTTACTTCATGTTGGATCTTGGATTTGTACTCAAAGGACTAGACCCTATTCATGCTAGAATTGTAAATCATATTTAAATTTTTAGGGTCATGGATGTAGGTCACATGTCAAGGTAGGATTGACCGGAAACAGTTAATGCAGCGTGCAATCCCTTTAATTCCACTATATAATTACACTTATTGAAACTTGTCAACTGGAAACCAAAATTCAATCACTGAACATATTTGTCATTTTTTGCTGTCACAGTTTTATAAACTACCCAATGTTTGCCATCTACAATATTTATCTTAAACAAATTTTTATATAAAAAAAAAACTCTGCCACAAACTTCACAGATTGGAATAAAATGTTTTGAGCAACCTTAGACCTCTTAAAGAATAAACTACAAATCTGCCACACTCTGCTACACTATTTTGATCTAAGGTCCACCACGGATTTGTGTGTCAGTTTTGATTTTGACCTAATGTTTATTGTAGCAATGAAATATGCTGAAACTGGCCAACTAACACTGACTGCAAGA